GTGCAGTCCTTATTTCCATGCTCAGACAGCTTTTTCTGACTCACACAAGCAAGAAGCAGCACATCTCATGAATTTTCAGCACATCCACATCTGCCTTACATACCTGCCAACGCTGTTCAATGACAGCTAATAATCATTTTGCTTAAGGAAATTCAAAGACACATCAGACATGACCCCACACAGAGCACTCCCCTGACACAATACACAGGTATGTCTCATCCCCACAAAACACACACTCATTCATTACAGCTCCCAGTGTCACTCCAACAGCCTTGCTCCCACAAACACCTCAAATTTCATTCCCATCTTTACCTGTACTTACCTGTATCTGTGTGACTCCTGCAGCTTTGCTCCAACTCCTGACTTGTGACATGGGCCTATTTTTCCCTCTGGGTGCAGGAAAGGAGGCACCATACTACTGCCTTACTTATTTCCAGCACTACAGGGGAATGTCTTAAATGATCTCCAGGCTTGCAGAAAAAGGAAGTAGTATTTTCCAACCCTTTCCCTGGCTCCAGGCTTTTGTAGAGTAACAATCATCACCATCATCACTGAATCATTATCATCTCCACATGCTGCCCCTGATTGCAGTAATCTGGGTTTTTGCTGTTCCTCCACCTGTACCAGGACAGCTCATTGGATGTGATTTCCTTGCAGCAGAGATGTTTCCTGTTGGGAAGTTTTAGATGTCTGGCAGTCTTTGGGAAGCCCATTAATAATTGTCTGCATGCTCAAATTACTTGCACTTACACTGTGGTCATCAGTGTCTTGTTTCCCTCTGGCTTGCACCTGGCTCCAACCAGGCTCCCACTTCTGATGTTTCTGGGATGGTGCTGTCAGAAGTTTGCTCACAGCTAGGTCCTCCCCATGAAATGTGCCAAGCTTCCTGTCTGACTGAAGCTCCTGCAGGAGTGCCCAGGATAGGGCACTTTAAAAGAAGTGGAGAACTATACTGTTTATACAGATACTGCTTAAGATACTCCATAACACAGTCCCTGCTGCACTCAGACAGCACAGGGAAGACTGTTCAGAACAGACCATGATCTCGACCTTCCTCCACCCTGGATGAGTGACTTAAATAGTAGTAAACCAGGAGAGCCCTGGTGTGAGTTTCTGCTCTGAGAGAATAAAACCCAAGCTACTCCTCTCACACTGTTTTGGTGTACTCTGTGAGGCTGGGAACCAGCAGGTGATGCTCTTGGGAAGGTCCTGGCTGCCAGGGTGCACCACAGAGGGCATTTTATCCTGCAAGACAATGGACCAGAGAGGAGAGAAAGGACAAAAACCTCTCCTTTGCCTCTCCCTTTATAGTGTTGTCCTGCAGATAACTCACTCCCTTCATGCTGAATGAGTTAAACTTTTGAAAACAGAAAGCTTTCTATATTTGCTGGTGTAATCTAAAACTACCCCAATTCTGCTGTCAGCCAAAGCAAGCACAGATTCCCAGGGCCTCCCTTTCCAGTCCAGTGCTGTATGGGTGCCCCAGCTGGCTGACACTGCCCCAACTGAGATGAGGTGAAAGAGCAAGACTGGCATCACATCCCCTCACGGCCTTGCTGCACATGGCACCTTCATCCTCTAACCCCCAGCTGCTCCAGAAGAGCAAACCTCACCTCCCACCCATCTCTCTGCCCAGCCCCTGGTCCTTGCTGGCTCTAAGTGCCAGGGGGCTGTACAGCTCAGCCAGGTGATTGCAATGGGCCCCGATGCTCCATGGGGCTGAACAAACAGACTTGTTAAATGAGACACCTCTCCATCTCCTTCCCTCTGTCTCAAAGAAGCTGTATTAATTCAAAATTTAGAATAATCCCAGATTTTACTGTGTTTTCAGTATTTTTCCTTGGGAAAATAGAAGAAATGCTTGTCATAATTTACTTATGTTATATTGGTATAACTGTGTGGGCTTTTAGCTTACATCTGCTTGTGAAGTTAGCAGTTTGCGTTTGCTGGTTACACTCACTGCTTAAGACCTTTTTGGACAGCTGATATTTTTGTTCAACATAACCCCAGCTGCAGTTTGGCACACCAAGTTTATGATTTCTAGTCTGTAGGGATTCAAGTGTCTGAATGTTTGCTCAGGAAGGGAAGTGGTTTGGTGCCCCAGCTCTGATGCAGCCAGGCAGTATCAGCAGATACCGCTTGCTTGCCTTCCTCCTCCTCCTCCTCCTCTCCACCTCTCTGCTTCCAGATGCAAATACTTCCATATTCAGCAGCATGTAACTACGAGGGCTTCTTAAGGGGAAAACATCTACCTTGGCAAATGCATTTAAGCCTGACTCTTTCTTCTGCTTCGTATTTTCAAGCATAGGTGGACTAAAGGAAAATTACTTCCCTCTTATGCCTGCTGGCATGGCTCAAGTCTTGTATTAAAAAATGCCAGCAACCCCTCAAAGACTGGCTAATCATAATTAATAAAGAAAATGCACTGGCATTTGAAAAATTATTTGGCTCCCATAAGTAGGAAAGTGGCCTGAAGAGGGAATCAGAAGCCAAAGTTCATGAGATTTTAATCCTAGTTCCTATATCAGTTCCCTGTCTGGAGAGGAACATTTAACTGCTTTCTTTGCTTTATTCCTTCCTGAATGGGAATAGATGTTAGCTTAGTCACTGTGGTGTTTGGGGGATTAATTAGCTAATTCAGCACCTTGCCCTAATGATGCAAAAATCTTAAAAGCTTCACTGGAAGGATCTGAAGCTCTAGTTTAAGAATTATTGCTCATTTATGACCTTTTTTGTAACACATCTTGGAAGACACAAAGGTAAGGCAAGAGGAGAAGGTTTTCATTTTCATTTTAAAAAGAGATAGGCATTTCCATTTGGCAAGATTTTGCATCCTGATGGGAAAACAAAAACACCTAGTCTCTGACCTTGCCTCAATCCATATTTAATCTCAGAGAGTGCTGTGATGTACCTTTGCAGACAACAGTTTCAGGAAGCATGGAGGAAATATTCCAGGCTCCTTCTGCTTTGAAAAAAAGGAAAGAAAAAAAAAGAAAAGGTGAAGCAGGGCAGAGATCTCACTTTGAGGATACAAAACACATGAAAGATAGAGCCACAGAGCAAGACAGCATTTCTTTTAACAAGCAACGAAAGACTTACACAACATCCTTTGGGAGCAAAATTATTTCTCCTTTTCCTCTCTGCAGACCCTTTTGTTTTGGTGAATAAGGGGATGAGACCCTGCCTGTGAAAGCCAAACAGAGGACAAAGCCCAGGGGTGATTTCTCAAGCAGGAGAAGGTGCTGCTCTTCTCTCTGCTGTAGGGTTGCCTCCCCGTGCCCCAGCAGTGCTCATTCACTCCTCTCTGCTGTGGTGCTGCTCCATGCCTGCTCCGTGCCCAGCTTTGCCATGCGGCAAAGGGAGCGGGTGAGAGCACAAAATCAAATCGAGCCAGCAGCAGGAGGATGAGCAGGGCTTTAGGAGCTGGTGGAGTGTTAGGAAGATGCTGGAATTGAAGCTTGCAGAGGATGGTAAGATTAAAAATAGGCTGTAGCCAGCCTTCCCCAGAATTTTGGCACCTCAGTCGCCTGTTTTCCTTGTGACCCACTGAAGAAGAAGCAGCAGTGGAATAGATTATTTCTTCCACCACCCTGACAGTGCAGGGCAACATGGGATTTTGCTTTTAACAAGATCATTCTGCTTGCTCTGTCTGGTGAGCAGTTCTGGAAAGGTGCAAACTGAGTGTTTCCTCCCCATCTTCTGGCAAACCAAGGGACCCCCTCCTTCCTCTGAGTTTAACAAGGCACTCATGCATTGAAGGTGTGCTCATTCGTTCACATCTTACAGGCTGTTTGCAGGCTTCCATCCTTTGATAGAAAGAAAGGCAGTCTCTGTAGAAACCACTGGACATCATGCTGCAGGATTTTTAATTCAAGAAAACATTGAACAGAAGTATGTTATCAATCAACATTGCACCTTTGTACCTACCTTAGCAATGCTGTATTTGTACTAGAAAAAGCCACAGACAACTCCTGATGCTAAGAGGTGTTGAAATGGATACTTAGATAAGGTGCTTGGACATCTTGGCCAACAGCTCGTACATTACAGGGGGCAGGAACAGTTTATCCTGCTCTTTGCCCATGGTGTGTATTTTTGCAGGTTGGTTGTGGGACAGACAAGGCTTCTCTGAGCTATGGGTTTCAGGTAGCCATGAGCCCAGGACATCAGCTGTGAATAAATGATCCCACTTGTCCAGTGGGATAAATTTAGGAATAATCTTTGTGAAAGTATGCTGTGGTGTAGTCTTTCTCCCCCAGCTTTAAATTTTGTACATCAACAAGATCCTTCATTTGAAACATTTTAGGAAGTCTGAAGGGTGTTTGCAAGATTTGTAAATTGGTCTTAAGGAGAGCTAAGGGCTGTAACACATCTCCTGGGTCCATCATTTTAAAGAAGGTTAACGACTTCTGCTTTGTTAAAACATGCTCTCAGATAACAACTTGTGACTGGGGAAAGCACTGTGCAAAGATGCAGTGCCATGTTAACAGCTTTCTTTTTTTCTGCTGTCTCTAGAGCAGCATTTGTGAATAGTAACAGACTGCCAGACTTGTACAGTTTTCTAGAGACAGTCCTGCTTTAACTCTGGGTGCAGTTTTCTCTTTTAGAGCTGCTGTGTATTAAGTGTTTCCCTGCAAGAGAGAGCTACCAGGCAGAAAAAAGCTAGACTGGTATTTTGACAGACACTCAGCACTCCCTTGTAAACTGCCCAGAGTGCCTAAGTGGTTACTGTTGGGTGTGGTGGGGAGGGAGCCAAAACCCGGAGTGTGCTTTTTCCATCCTGGTCTTCAAGTATACATGTGGGTGTAATTGAATGGGAGACAGCAGTTTTTCAAGTAAGATGTGGCTGTGCCTCCATTTGTCCTCCTGTAAAGTGTTTCCAGCGTTTCAGCACTGCAGTGGAAGCACAAGAAGTGGGATGCCATGACAAGTGGGTCTAAGGGAAGTAATCTGGCATGAAGCTGTGGCTCTCACTGGACATTTTGCTGCTTCTTTCTCCCTAGGAACATTTGTATCTGCTTTCACCGTGCTGTGCGGAGCCCGGACCGACCTCCCTGACAGGCACATGTGTTGTGTGTTCTGGCTGAACATTGCTGCTGCTCTGATTCAGATCCTGACGGCAATTGTGATGGTTGGCTGGATTATGAGTATATTTTGGGGGATGGACATGGTCATTCTTGCAAGTAAGTACAGCACACTCACCCCCCTGACTTCTCCCCTCCGTGGCTGTGTTGCTGGGTCCCAGCTAGTGTCCCTGCAAGCCACTGGACTGCACTGTAGGGAAGAAGAGCCACAGGATGGGCTCAACAAGTCCATAAGAAACATAGTAGGCCCAGAAATTGCTAGGAGGCAGTTGGAATGGGTCCTGTGACACATCTGGAAGAGCCTCCCATCCCACTAAGGCTAGGAACTTCCTTTCCCCTTTATGAAATTAAATGTGCAGGAAGAGGGAGGCCCCTCAGCACTGTGAACACTGCTGTCTGGAGCCCCTTCTGCCCTGGTCACATCCGTTTGAACGAGAAAGCCCTTCCTCCCTCGCGACTTCAGCTGCATCTCTGCAGTTAGAGAGACCTTTCTGTGAGACTGGTTCTGTTCCCAGGGAGCATGCAGGGCCAGCTGTCCCCAGAAAGCCCTGGGGACTCTCCTGGACCCTTCCCTTACTCCCCAGAATACATTTACTCAAGGGCTTTATTTTTTTTCTTGTTTCATACCAACTTCTTAGCCTGAGCAGAACTGTTTAGCTACTCCTAGAAGGACTTCCCATGCACCCTTTGAGGACCCTCTAAAACATTAATCAGGGGAAGGGGAATCCTTTTTTAAATGTACCTAATTTAGATCACCCAGCTAGTATATATCACCAATTTAGGTCTGTAACTTTTATCTGCTGAAGGCTTTTACTGGTGTAAAAGTTGTTTTGTATGTCCTGTATCATATTGCAGAGAACTGAGGTGACAGCCTCACCTCCAAAGCCAGAAGTAGCACAGAGCTCAGGGTGCTGATGGCATCTGCAAGACCTCACTCACTTTCCAGAGGCTGGCAGGGTCTGATGGGCACTGCCCCAAACCAGACAGGTCTGAGATCCTTCAGGCTGGCTGGACAGGCAGTTCCCAAAGCAAGCCCTTCTCACCAAGACCATCTTACCAGTGGCTTTTGCCTTTAGGTTTCAAGGGGCTCCACTTTGCATCCCTGCTGATGACATCTGTGGCTGTATGACAGGGGAGGAGAGAGCATCCAAGAAATTGCCAGGAACCTGCCTAAAGATGAAATGGATGAAACTGGAAAAAAAAAAAGGCAGGAAACCAGTACACATTTTCAGCTGCCAAACCCAGGGGTGAAACCCTCTCACGAAATCATCTGCTAATTTCTGAGCCAACTTCAATTTGTAGACTGAGTTAAGGCAAATCCTCACACAGAGCAAACAATGGATATTAAAACCCTAAATATATGCAAGGCAAAAGGTTTTCCTCAGGATGAAGGCAGCACTGCCTTTTGTTTTTCCCTGCAAACCACCTACCATGTCTCCTCCCAGATACACCTGCAGAGGAGGAGTAGCCCAAGTTATTTCTGAGGATAAAATGTGAATCGGTGTACATCTGTGATGTGTCTTTAAGAATCTGCCCAATTTGTGTGTAATCCCATAATTATATGTTCATAATCATATGCTCTTCTGCTCTTCCTCTGCTGGACACCCTCCATGTGCTTTCCCACATCTGGCTGTACCCCACCAGTCTGGAGGCAGAGAGTGGGTGAGCAGCATGTGGTGAGGATGCTCAGGTCAAGAGGTCCCAAAGCACAGCATAGTATTTCATCCCTCTGGTCACAGTAGACAATGGTGAGAGGAGTCAACATGTCTTATGTTCTCCAGCTATACATCACCCGACAAGTTGCAGCCCTTGGCAGTTTCTTGCTGTCTCATTAAATAGCTGGGTTTAAGTTTACTTGCCATGAAGAGCAAATAATGGCTAAATAAAGCCACTCTTGGTTGATGGAAAATAAAAGAAAAAACTCGATTTCCATCAAAACAACAGAAGTGATCAGTTGCTCCTAGCTGGATCAAACAGCCCTGTCAGAGCCAAAGTGGCTCTTGTTTCCTCGTTAAAAAGAAAAGAAGTAATAATGTTAAAAGGAAACCATTTTTCAGATGCAAGAAATAAGACATTTCATTTAAAAACACTGCTGGGAACCAGTTTGCTTTGGCTGGGTTTTGCCTGTGTGCAAACCATTTGATGCACTGTACAGAAATCATGCACTTTTACAACTTGAATCTACATGCAGATGGGAAATAGTTTAAATAATATGAAACTACTGCCCACCTCTCCCTTGCCTTGAAATGGTCAATTCCTCACATCCCTGTGAAGGTGCCATACTATTTTGATGGGCTGGAGGCAGGACACAGCAGGTGGTGTCTAAGCTGTTGGGGGCTAGCAGTGAGGGGGAAGCATCTGAGGCTCAGGGACTCTGTTCAGGCTTTCCTTGAGGGATGAGTACCTCGCTCCCTGGCTCAGGGCCTGCCTGTCTACTAGCTGATAGAGAGTTCAGAGGGCATTAGAATCACAGAATCAATAAGGTTGGAAAAGACCTCCAAGGTCACTGAGTCCATTTGTTAACCCATTACATCATGTTCACCACTAAGCCATGTCCCTAAGTGCCCCATCCACACACCTTTTGAACAGGAGGCTCGTTGCAGCTTTTCATTTTCTAGTGCTGATTCTCAGCCATGGAAAGGGGGAACCTGTTCTCATGGGACAGCCTTAAAGATAATGTCATGCTGTCTTTAATGAGGGGAAAAGGAGAAGAGTTATAGGTCAATCAGGTATACTTCAATTCCTGGAAGAAGTAATCAAGTGAGTGCCAAGAATTTATTTAGAAAATAAATTTTAAAATCCCACCACAAAGTCTATCTGGCTTTGTCCAGAGCAAGCTGGTGCCAGACCGGCTTGATTCCCTTCTGTGGCACAGGGATTCATTTTGTGCATGGTGGCAGCAGTCAGCCATCCCTCCTGACCTTTGGGTGCTGACCCCATCTCACACAGATTCCTACCAGCAAGCTGGGGAGAAAATGCACTTGACAACTGTTCTCTAAATGGATTTTCCTGAACTGCAAAGATGTAAAGAGAGGTGTGTCAAAAGGTCCCCCCAGCTCTGCTCAGTATTTTCATTTGTGGCTTGATGATGGACTGCAGAAGGAAGAGGCACAGCAGCCCCACACCAGGGGTGGCTATGAGGACAGCAGGCACAGCAAGGGCAGCGTCTAGATTCAAGCAAATTGAAGAACTAGTTTGAAAACAATAAATGCTGCTTGGCAGAGACAAGCCCAAGCCTCTGTGGAAGGATTAATTGACAGCAGAAATACATGCTAGGGAACAACTTGTTTTTCAGCGAAGGATGTGGTGGCTGCAGTGAGTCACAAGCAGCACAGGAGTGTATTGCTGTGGAGGGAGCAAATATCACACAGGCAGACAGGAGCAGAGCCTGGAAGGAATTAACTGATCACCTCACCTTTCTCTCACATGGGAAGCTGTGGTGAGGCTTGTGGCTGGCTTTGGAGGCTGTACCTCATGTGGAAAACCCGGAGAGAGTGCAGAGGACTGTAAGACAGCAGGCAATGCAGATGTTCTATGGGCTAGTAAATGTGGGAGGGCAGCAGTTCAGCCTAAAACAAACTTACATAACAGCAGGAAAGATCTGTGTGGAAATTAGGAGACGTTTTCCCTCCAGTAAGGTCAAAATGCTGCAGAGGCAGCATGGCAGGATCTGCCCTCTCTGTCTCTGGAAGACTCCAAGAGCAGGTAGACCCACATCTGTCAGGGGCAAGGTGGGACATGAGAAAAGACCAACTGAGCTGGGAGTCTCATCCAGCCCTCATCTCCTGCAAGGTGCCCCTGAGTGGAATAATATCCCAGAAGGAAGATTAATTGAATGCAGTTTTGCTGTTACAGTTAATTGCTTTTGGCAGCACCATGGCATGGGGCATCTTCTCTGCTAATTTAAATGAATTGCCAGTTGGCCCCATTCGATGCCACAGATACCTTCTTTAAGCAGCCATATGGCTTTGGGGATCATCCTTCGCTGTACCTGCTGTCTGAAGGCAAAGGTAGATTAAAAGGAAGGACTTGATTATTTTCAAAAAAATTTGCATTAATAAAAATGATCTGAACTCTCCCCTTGCTGCTGCAAATCTCCAGTTGCCCTTGGTGATCGCTGGGCAGCACTGCTGCCCTGTGCTCTCCTCAAACAAACCCCTTGTCATGTCTGTGGGGACAAGGCATGGAGCTGAGGCAGAACGGAGCTAATTAGCTGGCCAAGGCCAACTGGAAAACAAGCCTCCTAAGGCTTTCTGAGTAAAGTTCCTCTGCTACAGGCACTCTTTGTCCCCAGTCCACGTCTTCATTAGCTACACTGTGCAGAGTGAACACAGTGGACTGGCCTTTCCAGGAACTCCCTAGCTGCTCAGAGCCCATTATGAAAGGTTTTGTGCCATTCCTTCACAGAAATGATGGAGAAATAATATAGTAATGTCACATTGAGGTGGCACAGGGGACACAAGCCAGGGACTGTTTGTCCAGGCATTTTTTTGCCTCTTTTGAATGCAGCCAAGAATTCAAGCCTGGTTTCTGAAGAAAGCTCTTGATCAGCTTTTGGCCTCTGAACAAAGTATGTCTGTGCCATCACTTCTGACAGGACAGGGACTCTGACTGCAGCCCCTGCTCCTGCTGCAGACAACTGACTCTCAGGGGCTGATTGCCAGCCAGTAATGAGAACTTACCTGTAATCACGCTGTCCATTTGTCACTCCTTTGCTAATTACAGCACTCAGACCCTGCCAGAAGCAGCAGCAGATGATTGCACAGTTAACTGTATGCTTGGGCTCTGAGGAACCTTGGAAAGCATCACCAAGCCTCTCTGCTCTGCAGAGCTCCTGCTAGGGCAGGTAACCCAGCTGCACTGGGAAGGAAAGGGGAGCAGAAGGCGCTTGAGAGACTTGGAAGATAACAACTTCCCAAAAAAACTGGTAACTATTAATAAGATGAAGGAAATTTTGAGGACAAATTGCCTGCTTAGACCTATTATGTTTTTTTAAAATCTAAATAGAGCTGTCACCCTATGCCTGAGGAAAGTAGTTAAAATAACCTTTTTTTTTTGCAGTTTCCTACCAAATTCTGTGATAGGGCAGGTTCTTAAAATATTGTAGAATTGTTAAATACCACCAGGATTTGCAGCATCCAGACAGGCTGAGGCATGTTGTGGTTGTGAGTTACCCATGAGCACAAGCAAACTCAGCAGG